CGATTATGATCACTGGATCACGAGATACGTAGCAATATAATTCATCACGGCGGATTCTGTTCACACCCTAATTAATATAACCTCAAATTTTAAATTATAAATACTCCGACATATACCGGGTGGGTGAAAAGTTTCTATACAGGACCTTTTTTTTTTAATCACTAAAATAATGATCATTACAGTATTATATATAAATTGTATTTAAAATTAAGTACTATAAATCTTTGTAAAAAAAGGGACCTGTATAGAGACTTTTCACTCACCCGGTATTTTAATTAATCATATGCCAATACGTAATTTATTATAAGTACATGCCCTAAAATTTTGGGGTGTGAGCAGAATCCGCCGTGATGTTAAACAAATACGTATTTCTTAAAGTTCTGTTAAGAATTCTTAATGCATTAGATAATGTTTCTTACTGTAATCAACTTTACATAATACGTTTCGCACCAAGAAAGGGTACTGTGATGCAAATAAGTTTAACACGAAACACATTCATCAAAAGTTAAAGTCATGAAATTTTTTGTCACTGCAGGCATCACTTAACCTTAATGCATTAATGACGATTTACTTTGTACAAAATATCTGATTTTGATCTATTATGTTAATTTTTAACTAATACCAAGAATTTATCATTTAAACGTATTAGGGATGTTAACCTCCTACGTGATCTCAAGATCGTCTAAGTGGCTAATTTACGTCTATCTAAATGTGATTATAATACTGGAATATAATCCATGTAATTACAATTAAAATACAATACTCGTTCACTATTATTCTATACATTAAACCACTAAACCAGTTTTTAACTATTTTTTGACAGGGGGGTGAACTCGTCCCTTAACTAGTCCAGTTTTTAGGGGACTGGATCAGACGAACCACTTAACATCCCACGTATAAACTCAAGAATCAGCTAATAGAATAAAATAATTTCAGCATCATTCGATTCGTCTTAATAAGACAAATTAAATGGCACAAAGGCATTCTTTTTAATAATCTTTTAAATGAGACCCTTAATGAGACGAATCGACTCTGACCAGCCAACGCTAAGTTATTAGCTACAATATATACTTTCATTATAATACCCATACCCATATCTACCTTATATTTCATTATATATTTCAACCCGGTTCGAATATTATAAAACCACAGGTTATCATTACGCTTACCCCAGACTCAACAATAGTAATTTTTATTCCGACAGTTTTAAAAAGTATTCTAACTGATGGATTTATTTTATTAATATAAAAAATAAAAAAATTCTTTTTTTGGCAAAAATAATAAGATACTAACTTATTTTTTCTGAGTTTAAACCAAATATCGAAAATATGTGTACTGGATTACATAGTTTGGCTAAATTTTAAATCACCTTATATCATTACCATTATTAGATTTCCTTTTATGTATTTAGTGCCTTTAATCATTACAATATATATAAAATATAAAATTTTCAACGTTTTCTCCAAAAATTCTTTTAACAATGTTGCGAGTAAACTTTGGAACCTTTTTAATTATTTCAGCATCACGAGTTCTTGCATTTCCTTATCGGGCTCCCAACGAAAGGGTCAATACTACTATTTATGAACAAATGAATCTTGAATACTGGATCAAAGTTTTCTTTACTATTTTTTTAGTATTATTAGGTGGATTATTTGCTGGTAATTGATTTATTAATCATTATTGAATATCTTTCGTTATTCGCTATTTTTAATTTTATCTTAAACTTTTAGGCTTAACCATTGGATTGGTAATTTGTATATAAATTTTGTTTTGTATTTTAATATATTTTTTGATCCTGAGTCAACACATTGTACTAGATGAGTCTAGATGAAACAAACCTTCATATTCTCTGCCGATCTGAAGATCCTAAAAAACGGTACGTGCATACATACTCGAAGATATATTCAATTTTTATTTATTTACGATGCTTTTTTTTTTTTTAGCAAATATGCCGAGCGCATTCAGCCTATACGTAAAAATGGACATCTGTTACTTGTAACTCTTCTTCTTAGCAATGTTTTAGTTAATGAAACTTTGCCGATTGTTATGGATGACGTTATGGGAGGTGGTAGCATATCTGCAATTCTGGCTTCTAGTGCACTTATTGTTCTCTTTGGTGAGATCCTTCCTCAAGCAATCTGTGCTAGATATGGTCTTGCTATAGGTGCTTTTTTTGCGTGGTAAACATTATTTCTTCATAATTATTAGATGTTTATTTGATTTATCAAACTAATGTTTATCTTTTTTAGGCCCACAAGGATATTGATTTGGATAACTGTATGACATTTTGCACGCCTTCTTAAATTATAAATATTTCGTCACTCATTGATCATTATTTTCACTATATTTTAGTTTATTATTTCGTATCCGATTGCCAAGCTATTAGATTTTGTTCTCGGTGAAAATCATGGAATAATTTATCGTCGTGCTGGTAATTTCGATAGAATTTATTGTGTCATTATTTCTAAAAATTCATTCTTTTAATTAATAATTTTTTCAATATAGAACTCAAAGAATTGATTAAATATCATGAAACATCTACTGAACATGGTGGTGATCTTAATACTGACAGTGTTACAATTATTCGAGGTGCAATTGACTTTCAAGATAAGGTAGCTGAAAGTGCGATAACTTCTCTAGACAAGGTGAATTAAAAAATTTTTCATTATAGCATTATTATTCATTTCGTTACTTGTTTTCTAATCATTATTTCTTATTCATATCAATAGGTTTTCATGATTACTATTGACACCATTCTGGATAGAAAGACTATGACTGAAATATACGCGTCTGGATATTCTCGCATTCCCGTTTATGAAGGTTCTCATAAGAAAATTAAAGGTGTTTTATTGACTAAGGTATAATTTGAATTTCAAGTCACCAATTTTACTACAAAATATTAATTATTGTTGACATTCTATATAGTCTTTAATCTTGTATAACCCTGATGAGGCTCTTCCTTTAAAAAATTTTGATATAAATCCTATTATCGTGGTTGAAGCTTCGACATCTTTAGTCGATATTTTAAATTCATTTCAAGAAGGTAAATGTCATATGGCATTAGTTGTTAAAGAATCAAATCCTATCGGAATCATTACTTTGGAAGATATTCTTGAAGAAATTATTCAAGAAGAAATTTATGATGAATCAGATACAATGCATAAAACAATAAATGGATTGAACACTTCGATAAGTATTATTCGGAATAACAAAGTCAGGAAAAATTTGACAAGGAAAAATGATTCTTCTAATAATAATGATCATAAAGACTTAATTGCATTTGATGACAATAATCCATAAAATTGATGATTTGCTAAACTATAAAGAAATACTACTGTATTAGTCAATTTATTTTCATTTTCACAAATCTATTTCGTGTTTGCAAAAATGGAAAAAAGATATATACATTTTTTTAAGGCAAATTTATAAAAGGAATTTATAATACGTATAATGCTGCATTAAAAAAAACAGATTAATAAATTTAATTTAGTAATAAAAATTATAGTGAACTAACCTATAGAAATTTTGAAAAAAATGGGTTTCATAAATGTGTGCCATCAAGCTATGTATTTGAAGAGCTTATTAAAATATATCTTACAATAACAAAAAAATGAATGAAGTTATTCGGTCTAATCTTTATTAGTAAAACATCACATTTTCCGCCATATTTTCGCTTTTACGTATTCGGAAGTTAACCATAATAGGATATTATCCAGAACCTTATACAGTATTTTTTATATTTCGATGCTTAATTTATACGTAGAATTCTTGCAGAATTTGACCTTTGAATAACGATAAATATTAAATAAACATTAAGTCATACTGCTTTAGTACGTATGTATGTACCTGCGTGGTATAAACAAATTTCGCCGACAAAAGTTAGCCCGGTTTGGGTTAGGATTGGCCTGATTATAGTCATGTTGGCTAGAGGTAGATTTTCGACGAAACGGCTGTCAGCAAATCTTATTTTTATTTTTAAGTTATTGAAAGGATGCTTGGCGCAATTGAACATCAGATTCTTGCGAAGGGTACGAACGAACGTACATACCTTTAATATTATATTTTACATTAAATTTATTTTGATGGGTCTAAAATTGACATTCTGGTGATGTATTATAATTTTTTGCAATTGATCAGACTCTTAACATGTTGGCTATTTATAAATAAAAATACTTTTTAAATTTTTTAGTAAAGGTATTTTGACAATTATAGTATCCAACAAATTTTTTTAATTTTTTTTTTTTAATGTTAGAGACCTTGCCTTATCTTTATTAAACTTAATGAAAACAAATTTTTTTAATTTGATAATATATATAGAATTAAAATAAAAAATCTTATTCAATTTTGTTATTAAACTTGATAATAATGTAATTAATCATAAATTTGATTAATTTTAAATGTTTAGGTATCCTTTTTACTCGTGAACTAAAAAAAAATATTTTTATTAAAAAAATCTCCAATACAGTTGGGTAAATTGCAAAATTGAACTGACGACTAGTGTTTCGCAAGATCTGATCCTGATCCGTCAAGCGGAACCACAATTTTAAGATTCGCCGAATTCGGATCCACATAGAGATCCGATCCGTCATATATAAAAGCGTAAGATTTGAACTGAATCCGAGAATCCGTCTATTTAAACACGGATCCGGATTCATACTTGGACCCGATCCGAATTTTCGGATCTAATCCGGATCTTTGATAATATCCGTCCGATCCGATCCGTGCGGAAAACATATCCTTTTAATTTTTAGCTTAGCACTATTTTTAGCCAATTAAATGGTTTGGAACGGAGCTATTGTAACAACAAAGTAATTTATTAGAAAAATATTATGACAATTCATGCATTTTCATTAGTTAATAATATACATGTTCCAAAAAGTGAAAAAATAGTTCCAGTGGAACTTTTCACTGGAATCACTGGAAAATCCGGACGTCCAGTGGTGTTTCTATTTCCAGTCCAACAACGCTGATTATTCTGGTTGTATTAACAACCAGAATAATTATTCACTATAATGCTCTGTAACCTTGTCTTTATCAGAACTTCCATACAAAGATTCAAGCTTTAATGCAGCTTGCTCTTTCGAATTAGTATCGATATCAGCACACTGAAGCGCTCTATTATAAGCTTTTATTGATTCATTTGGAACTGAAAGTTGCTCGTACAGAGCTCCCAAGCGTAACCACATCCTAGCATCATACGGTCTAAATATAAAAAGATAACGATCGTTATTGTATAAATCTTTTTATAAGTGTAACTATTATCTGAGCTTACCTTAAAGCTGAAGACCTTTGATAATAATATATCGCATAATAAGGCATTTTCAACATTTCATAAGTTTGTCCAAGACCACACCACGCTCGATAATCTTTGGGATTTATCTCTGATTTCATAAAGAAATATATTTATTATATTTATTAAAATTTGATAAAATAGCATAATAAAGTTTAATTTACCCACGGCTCGTTTATATGATACGACAGCCGCATGAGTATTTTTCAGTTCAACATATTCATGACCCATCAATGTCCAAGCAGCCAAACAATTCCTATTAACTTGTAATGCTCGTCGAAAATAAGATATTGCCTTTTCATGTTCACCTTTCGAGCTATAGTAATTTCCTAAATATCAATAACAGCAATATATAAACGATACATCACTTATAGATGTATAATAATTAATACATCAAATAGTATAATGACATACCTACGATGCACATAGTTTCAGAACGAAATTTATCAGTGTGACAACTCATGTGTGCAAGGAAACTCAACTTTGCACTCTTTCCATCTAACACATACAAAATATTCGAATAAAGATCAATGTCATCTAATCTATATGGATCTGATTTAATTATATCTTCGAATACAGATTCTGCTGCCAAATAATCTAAAATAAATGAAATGTGAAATATATAAATTGCATATAAAGTATAAAGTAAAATACTTTAATTGATAAAGCCGAATAATTATAAAAAAAGACAAATACAATACCCCTATTATTGTAATATGTAATGGCAGTTTGAGTTTGTAAAAATTTATTTTCAACAAATTTATGTTGAACTTCACTAATCAATTCAAGACATTTGGTTGAGTCCAATAATTCTGCAGACAAATAAATTCTGAAAAATCTTAACATAAAAGTATCTGGAAGCAAAGCCAGTATATCTTCCATCTATGAAAACAGGAGTCGTGCATGAGTAATTCATAAAATAAGCAAAAAAATCCTATGTTCATTTGTAATACCATATCTTTATTTGTTACGCAGTTAGCCAACTCTAACCAAGCACTCCAATTGTAATGATACTTGAGTACAGATTCTAAGAAGATATCTTTAATATTCTTTGCTTGTGGATTTTTCTGTTTGAGAATGAGACCATATCTATATAAAATAAAGAAGTCATGTTCATCAACGGCCGAAGATTGTTTTATTATTATATTGTTGGAAGTATACTAACATTATAAAAAAATATGGACTCACAAATAAATGAGAAAACCGTCCATTTCACCCTCCTCACGCCATGTCTCCATTTCCTCCCATAAACTTTGTATTTCTTTGTTCAAACATTTTGAATCATCTAATGGGCCTAAATTATAAGATGAATTATTTTTTAAAAAATTTTTTAAAACAAAACCCCCATTAAAAAAAAAAATAGCAATTAACTTTCTATGTACCCATAATATCTTGACTTTCTTCCTCTTTTCTTTTTTCACCAGCCTATAATATCAATAAAAAATATTTTATATATAATGATTCTTGGAAATAATTTTATAAAATTGATAAAAAGTCTTTCTCATACCATATATTTAGAATAACCCTTTAAAAATCTACATTTTGAAGACTTGCATCTTTCCAACACAAAAGCAGCCCTATCAAATTCTTTAACGTCAAAATAAGATTTACCGAGAAGATATTTGTCATGTTCTATATAATCAAGATTTGTTGATAGATCTTGTTGAGTAAAAAATGAACAATATGACATGTCCATTTTTGCAGATTCTAATGATCCTTTTGAAGAAGCTGAAAGTCCATCTAATGTTTCAGCTGCCCTATTGCATAAAATAAAGTATTTAGAACAATAGAATTCATTTCTATGCATTACGTTATTAACCTTTGATCATATTACCATTTTGCAGCAAAATATAACCCTCTTTCAGAACATTCTATAACAGCTTTTCTAAGAACCACACCGACTTCCTCCAAGGTCAAAAACTCGAAGCTTGTTGGTGATGTTCCAGTTTCATTATACATTGTGACGATCTGAGAAGTTTAAAAAAAGCGCGTCTGAATGTTATCCTAAAATTTGATCCTGATGATCGTCAATAAAATAAAATAACCAATCAAAATGTTTCCATTATGAATAACTACAGTATGCGTTAAACAAGTTTTTCGCGTTCTTGACGTTGTCACAAAATGAGTATTTTTGCTCATCTCTAATATTAAGTTTTAAAGTTTTGAATAATTTTGATGAATTCTTTCAAAGAATTGAACTTACATTCAGATTTTAGGTCGTCTTCTGAATTACAGTCAACTTTATAACGAACTGAACATTTTAAAATAAAAAAATTTTCGTGAGGGTGGTTAACACATACCATACTGAACTAATGTAAAATTCAAACCTTCATATATAGCTTGTTATAAAACGTTCATTCTATGGATCGACTATATATCTGATAATGATATATATATGCGCACATATGATACACGAAAAATATGAACACATATTGTACAGCTGTGTGCACATATGGGGAATGGACTAGGTAAACCTGCCTTCGACAGCTAATGCCGAAGGCAGGTTTTCCTAGTCCATTCCCCATATAATGTACGGTCTATTTTATCGATCAAAATTTTAATTTTTATCTTGTAATTACCTTGTATATTTATTATAAATCCTGAAATCGGTTGATTGAGTCGTTAGCATCCCTAGTCTAGCGATATATTACACTGGCAATGAATAACTGGTACGAATCTCTCAATTTAAAAAAATAATAATAATTTGGAAATTGAAGACAATTTTTCTCCCTAGTACAGTATATTAATTTCACAATTTCAGCCAAAAGTGATTAATATACTTAGAATAGGCAAGTATTTCTCTCGAAGACTTCCACTATTTCAATTTGCCAGATTTTTATAATCGAGTATTCTTTCTTTTGTAATTTTGTATCAAATATATCCAGATTTTACGAGCCATTGATCGTGATTAACGATGTAATCGACAGTTTTATTGATCGGGATTTTACCCAAAACAAATAAAATGATCATGGTATTTGACCTTTTGTTACGGCAAATCCCAAACTAGTTTCGGCTAGAGATGCGGTCCGTTATCCGTTTTCTTATTTAAAATTAGCGGATATCCGAATATCCGGATTCTTTATAATAATTTTGTTATAAATTCTGGAACAATTGAAAACATTGCCGATGACCGAATCGACTCGGTTGAATTCAGTAACTTTGTCGATCCGGTCATCAGCAATTTTTTCAGTTGTTCCAGAATTTATGAAGACAGATGTAAACCCAACTCCTCTAGTTTCGGCAGTTTGGTTTGAGTGATGATAAAGATGAAACGTGGTATTCCATTTGTTTGTTATTGTATAAATTTTTGGTGAGAAAAATGGTTTTAGAAATATAATTCCTGATTATCAGTTAATTTTATTATGTAAATATTTTTTTTCGGTAATCTTTATTGACATCTGTTTATTAATAATATTTGACGATGCTACTTATAATAAATATTTTTATGTAATTTTATGTAATTATAAATGAATTACTTTTTAAAAAAATTTATTATTAATTTTATATTCAATAAGCATTCTACGGGATGTGGAAGAAATATTAGCAGCTAGAGTTAGTTGACATTCTAAGTGAACTTTATATATAGTACACCTCCCTAAGTGCATCCCGTCGGGACCATAGTGAAAAAAATTAAAATTTTGCACTTAGAGGGTGTTTGCATTTATAGAGAGTAAAATATATAGAACTCTTATAAGTTGGACTGGACTATGCATTTAGAGAGGTTTTACATAGTGCTTAGGGGACGTGCACTTAGGGGGGTGCAACTGTATATCCGAATTATATATATACTGTATAACAGCTGTCAGAGAAATATTCACACGATCACTTGATAATACAGCAAGATTTTACTGATATTTTTAAAAAAGATAATCTTTGCACAGTTAATTTTCCAAGAAAATAGATTTTATAAACAATCAAACCCTTGGATATCATCAGTTAATAAAGTGAGAAAGGTAAATTTCTTATATTGTAAAACCGAGGGAGATTGAATGCGTCATAACGCCAATCACTTTATCAGTAAAAGAATGGGCTAAGCGATTTTTACAACGTTACAACGTTACATGGTATCTTCATTTGGGCTAAATTAATTATTGCTACTAGTCATTGTTACAGTACACGTGAATTGCAAAAATTAATAAATTTATTATTCATATAAACTCATTTATCCCCCATTTTTTAAAATTTTGCCACACCTTGCCTGTATATACTGTATTTTTTTTTTCATTTGTAGATATTATTATAACATAAAAAAATCGAAGACATGTATCCATTTCTTATAAAAATTTTAAATGTAATTGCTTATATTTTTTTCTTGGGCACAAACCTTTATTCAGGCCTTGGTCCTCAAACTGTATGTATTTTTATTCTCGTATTAGAGTGAGGTTATGAAATTTGCAAAGATACTATTATTAACTTTTCTTTGACAAATAGGACAAATCCCCGTATCATGATGGCTATCCTACCTACATTACTCCAGCCTCTTTCACTTTTGGCATTTGGGGTCTTATTCATTTCTTATTAGGATGCTTTGGTAATTATTTAAATTGTGTATACACTATTCTCTCCACCATATATTTCGTAATAACTAATATCATGTGATATGTGATATTTCCTAATTTCCTATAGTCATTTATCAATTTTTCACCCCTGCCGATGAAGTCGTTGTCGAAGGTATTCATTGGCATTTTATTTCCATCTCACTTTGGAATACTGCGTGGCTTGCTCTTTGGGCCAATGATCTCCTTGTTCTTTCATGGATTGCCATCGTCATTACTGCTTCCCAAGTCACTCACATTTCCTGGGTTCTCAAAAAGAAATATCCACCTCATAGTACAGTCGATAAACTTTTGATCCACCTTCCATTTTCTCTTTACCATGCTTGGATTGCTGTTGTCTTTGTTTTAAGCACATTTGTCGCATTCACTCCTGAAAAGTTACCAAACGAAGCTCCAAGTGTTTTAATTCAAGTCTTGGTCTTTTTAGCTTTATTATTCCTTGGAATGCATGTCATTTCTTATGTTGAAACTCCCAGAATTGATATTGCTGGTTCTCTTGTTATTGCATGGTCATTATTCGGTATTGCTGCTGGCCAAGAAGATCCCTTTATTCATTGGTCTGCTATTGTTATTGGTGCCCTTTCAACACTGTACATCCTTAAACCTTTCGTCTTTAAATACTTCCTCCATCGACAAACAGGTGAAAATGAAGCTTTGTTGCCAGAACATAGGCGTTAATCATAAGCTACAACAATAACTGTATAATTTTATTCAATCGATTAACCAGTAGTTTTTTTTTTTTTAAATGAATTTTATTTGAACTATGCTATGTATTATTTAGACTTATAAAACAAATAGCGCTCATATTATAATGGAGCTTTAAACAAAATGTATCTACTTTTATTTTTACTTGAAAATATTGTAATTAAATACTGTTTTCTTGAGAAAGTAATTTAAATGTGAACTTATTTATTACTAAGATAACTATGTATAATTGTAACACCATAGTACCGTGGTAAGTGTTCTCTTTGATCTTTTCGATCAAAGTAATTACAGTTAGGACATTTGTTTAGAGATTCACAAAGATAACTGGTTTAATCAGCAATAATATACGGATATAATGTATACCACGTGGTATCGTTTTTGTCCAATTCTGGGAAATTTTAGTAGATTTATTATTAATAATACAGTATCGGTATATACTATATATTATTCACGTGAATTCGCACTGTAATTCCAAGTTAAATTCTGGTAATTTTATATATATTGTTTTACGTATTGTTAGAATACTATATCTCAAAAAGTAGTGTTTGTAGTCGATTTCGTATAGTTGATTTTTATCGACTTAACCGGTGTAACCATCGTAAGGTATGAGTTTAACTCTGATGGTTGATGTTAGAAGGGTCACATGATTTGCGTAATAGGGATTTATTATAAAAAAAGAATGTGAATATATAAGGGGGAGTAGGGTATTTTGGCGCACCTAAGCTGCGTTGCTAATTAAACGTTTATAAATTAATATTTATTTCTAAAATTCATTTAACTAATTAATTTTATACTTGGCTATCTGATAATGAAAAAAAAGAGGGTATTATTACTAAAAAAATTTGTTTATTGCGACTTTTTTGAAAGCGATTTTTTAATCGTTATTTTATTAGGTGGGGCTATTTTGGCGCACTACAAATATAGTAATATCTACATACTGCATAAATTTTATAATTGGCCGAGTTCTCAATAATACAAATAATAAATTACTAAATGAAGCAGATTCTTAAGGGGCACTGGGCGTGCTGAATACACTTTAGTTAATTTTTAGAATTTTTTTTTATTAACGTTGCTTGAATCTTGCGGCCAAGAGCTTCCAAGAGTTCTAATTAAAGTGATTTTAACACCATTCGATTCGTCTTGATAAGGCGAATTAAATGGTGTTAAAATCGTTCGTTTCTGGTTATTGCATTACGAGATACTTTAAAAAAACTTCAGTGCGCCACATTACCTTCCGCGCCAGAATACTCTCCACTCCCTTATGTTTAATAATTAACTAAATACTTTAACATCTGTTTTAAATAGTGCATGCATAAAAATAATTAAAAGTTGAATAATGTGAACCAATATATTGTATTATGATTTAAATCCACTAAGTTTGAGAAGTTGTTTGCAGGTTTCAAGTTTTTTAATGTCTTCAACCATATTTTTAAAGCTTTAAAATTTGAACGGACAGAAAATATTTCAATTCTGTTTATTTTATGAAATGTTTGAAATTTTATTCTAAGGCCACGTAAAGTTAATTTTTCGTTTTGCATAACCCGCCGACCCAATTTTTCAAAAAAAATTTTTTTTTTTTAAGTTCCAATTGCCCCAATTATTCCATTTTCGCCATTTAATTTTTTCCCGTAATTTATCCGGTATCACCCGATAGTGAGCTTAATTTCCGTAATAACCCGACAGGTCTGTTAAAAAAAAAACAAAGTTTCCGAATTTTCTGATTCCATGTTATGCAAAGCGAAAATTTAACTTTCGTGGCCTTAAATATGAGCATGAATCTACTAATTTATAGTATAAAAAATTTTTTTTTACAGCTATTATCATAATTCCTGAAACACCTGATAAAAATTAGCCAAATGATTGTTTGGCCGATTCGGTTAAGCCAGTGATTTCGGCATGACCCATTATATAATAAAATAATAAAAGCTGTTATGACCAATAATAACAATAATGTCAATGTTATTAAATTTTCGTTCCAACGTGCTTGATGTTTATTTTGCACGAAAATTTACGGAAAAGACTGCTCGTGCCAACCAATAAACCTTAGTAAGAAATCTAAAAAAAAGGGATCGGATATAAATTAGACTTTTATAACAAATATATTACACGAACAGGTGCCGCTATTGAAAAAGTTTATATGATCATTAATTTGTCGACTGGTTTAAAAATGAATCTCAGGTTAGGATTCCAAGCGACCAATATATTATTAATATTTGTGGAAAATGCATGAAGAATTATCAAAGTAAAAAATTTTTTATGTTTATATATTGAAAAATTTTAGTACTAACGATTAAAATTAGTTCAAAAATGGGATCAAAAATTAAATGAAAGTATCGAAGTGGAATTAGAATTAAAGATTGTCCATCTGAAGCAGATAGTTTAGAAGACTTGCTGACACCTAAGTGTTTAGCAATTTGTCGAACTGATAAGCCTTCTAAATTTTTTTCAACGATTTGCCAGCGAAGGTGCTTTGTAAATATCATTTCTAGAGATATCCCAAATTTTTTAAAAATAAATTTTTTGTCTTCGACAAGAAACGAAAAATAATTAGAAATAAATAAATGCCTTCGTTTGAACGAAAATGGATCTTTCCAAGGAATAGAAATCGAAATTTAATTCAATTTTTAAAACCGAATTTTCATTGAAAATATTAAAAATGAATAGGCTTCGCTTAAACGAAAATAGATCTTGCCAAAGAATAGGAATTTTAATTTTGCACAATGAATAAAGATTTCGTTCATCTTGCCAAAGAATGGGAATTGAAATTTTACACAATATTTTAAAACCTAATTTTTCGTCTTCGACAAGAAATGAAAAATAATTAGAAATAAATAAAGGCTTCGTTCGTTTAAACGAATATGGATCTTGTTAAAGGATAGGAATTAAAATTTTGCTCAATTTTTTAAATGAATAAGGGCTTCATTTGAGCGAAAATGGATCGTGCCAAAGAGTAGGAATTGAAATTTATAACTTACAAGTGCATATCGATGTTTAGTCTTATTTTAATATATAATAGTCATCCGATCTTATTAAATTACGTATCTGATATATCTGTTACTGAATCTTATTATTCCCGAAATTTATAACTTAACCGAATCGGCCGAAAAATCATTCGGCTAATTTTATCAGGTGTTTCAGGAATTATGATAATAGCTGTAATAAAAAAAAATTTACGGCGATTAATAGACTCATATTCATATTTAAGGCCATGTATAGTTAATTTTTCACTTTGCATAACATGGAATCAGAAAATTGGGTCGGCAATCGAATTTTTTTTATCAGTTCTATCGGATAATTCCGGAAAAATAAGGTCTCCATCGGGTGGTACCGGATTAATTTATGGGAAAAAATTAAATGCCAAAAATAGAACAATTAGCACAATTAGAACCTAAAAATTGAAAAATGGGTCGGCGGGTAATGCAAACGAAAAATTAACTTTGTGTGGCCTTAACATGTGTCATTCAGTGAAATGAAGACGTGCCATCACGTACAACATGCATATGCATGTAGTGATGTGCCGCGTACAGTACTATACGTACTGTACGTACTGTACGCTAAAATTTTTGCCGATCACTTGTTCCAGCCAATTGGGTGCCAGAAAAAGAACTATACGTTGTAAGGGTGAATGATGACTATACCTTCCGGGTAAACTAACACTAACTAAAACTAACCATACACTAACACTAAATTATCCTAATCAACAAGGCTCTACGAAAGAGGCGGGATGAGTTTGGTCCGAGGGATTAGGATAAGCTTCGATCTTTTAGAACTCTAAGAGCTTACTTTATTTCGCGACAAAGAACGTCGCTTATATAGTTTTTACATAATTAATGAGTACATTTGTCGTAATTACATCAGTTTGAAGAAAAAGGAAGCTATTCCTCATGACATGCGAAATAAATGATATTTGTAATATTTCGAACATTAGGAATATTTAGTACATTTCGCACATTTTGAACATCGGGAACATTATGAACATTGTGAACATTAGGCTAATTATGTTAACTAAAAATGGCAAGTACCAAGCGATTACACTTGTGCTCTTATGGTGGGTTCACAAATACACGTACGAAAAGGTTAAACTATGCTTCAAAAGGAAAATAAAGGGATAATACTAATAATGAGAAAAAAATATAAAATTCTTGGGTCGGAGAGGTACCTTGGAACCCGTTACAACGTACTGTACGTACTGTACGCTAAAATTTTTCAGGTATCATATAAATGGCGCATCACTATATGCGTGTCATCTGATGTGTGCCATTCCGTATGACGTGATATAACATGCCTATACATGCCATACGATCCGTACCATCCAGTGCATATACACTGTTTCCCCATACCATACCCCGAACTACTTTTCTTATAGGACTATGATCTGCTTGGTCGAAAGAGGCGGTTATATTTAGCAAGTGAGAATATGGTCGTAGGTATAGCCTCTCTGACTTATACAAACAATACACTAAAACGTCTGTATTTGCTGTTCACTGCCAATTAACAAAACCACGGCCTGACCCTTCCTCTTGAGCTCAAACCAGAATAAAACAACCTCAACTATTCAAGGTACGTTGGAGAAGGATACGTATCACTTCACCAACACTCATTTCGTAGAAACAACACTTCACCACCGTAATTGCTTCACCGACATGTTTATTTCATAGACATTTACAGCTGTTTTCATAAATTCTGGGACACCTAAAAATTCTCGTTTCCCGAAATTTCTTTGGTTTCGTTCTAAAGGTCGCTTAACTCTTCAGAATCACATCATTGTCTTCGGAACTTCATTCTGGAAATAGTGATGTATTTTCTGAAGTGTTAGATGATCTATAGGACAAGATTGCGGGAAACGAGAAAATTTTTCGATGTTCCAGAATTTATGAAAATAGCTGTAAATCACCAACAATCAAATCAGTGACATGTTCTTTTTACCGACATGTTTATTTTGTCGACACTAAATTCACCAACAATTATTCACTGATAAACTTAATTCGACGAAAAGCTTATTTCATTGACAGTACAACCCACTGGAATTTACTTTACTGAAAAGCTAAATTCACCAACAATTATTCACTGATAAACTTAATTCGACGAAAAGCTTATTTCATTGACAGTACAACCCACTGGAATTTACTTTACTGAAAAGCTTAATTTACTAAGAAGTTCATTTGTTGACAATACGTTTTACCAACAATTGCAGCTGTTTTCATAATTCTGGGACACCTAAAAATTTTCTCACTTTCTGGAATCTTTTCAGTTTTGTCTGGTAAATTACCTATCTCTCTGAAAACTACATCACTATTTTCGATATAGTGTTACCTGCGAAAACTAAGACTAAAGTAATAAGCTAAAGCTAACTAAAAACTGAAAAACTAACACACAACAAAAATCAAGACAACGTATCAAAAGAGGCATTTAGATTTGGACAGTGGAATGGTTCTAAGGCTTCGGTTGTCCTTCACACAATATCACGTGAAGTCAACGTTGAAACAATAACTAACCTTCTGGAACCAACTCGCAAGGAAATCAAGTATCCTCAACTCTTAGGGATACAACACAATAATTCCAACGGCACTGGAGTAAGTTAGTCTAATGAAATGAAAAATTTTGCCTTACTGGAGGTAAAATCAGGCAGCGTAATGATAGAGTTTTATTGAAGAAACAAATCAACAAAGATCCTTTTTAACAATAGGATTGGGTTAGGGAATTAGTCAATGTGTAATATAGATAATTCATTGAGTTCTTATTTGTATCGATTGAATGATATTTTTCCCACTGGGCAAAAGGCCCTTTATTTATAGATAAATTTTACATATAGCGAAGCAGCATAATTTAATAAAGAAAATGAATAAAACCCTTCAATCACATATAACCCAGAAATTCTCTAAAGTAATTATATTGCTGAAATCTTTTTAAACCCATTAATGCCTTAAATTGCCAAAATCGCTTATCTTTCATTAATACATTATCTTTAAGAAATGCAGCAAATACAATAAGTACTATAAATACTAGAAGGGTAATAAATGCAGTAAGTTTAATTAATCACCAGGAAAACTAAAGATAGAAATTGATCATCACAGCTGTGGATTATACACATGAGGTCAGCCGGAATCGATGAAAATTAAACTTTTGATGATTGAATTTCCCCAGGTTACAATTCTTCTCTACTTAGTTGCGAGTACTATGAGCTTCTATTAATAATTTGTCTAGCCTGGCCAACCATCATTTCTCGAAGGTTTTGCAATTTTACAAGGTTAGTGTGGTAAATTTGTTCAATACCTATCTTGGAGAAAACATCATACACTTTCAGAGCGGCAAGATGATAATAGGCTGTAACGTGAGGTCTTAATCTCCTTTGTTAGTCATTTGTAGTGGTAGCAAAAATCATCTCTAAATAATAATGTGGATCAGGGTTTCGATTCGATTCCAGTATTGAATTGCCTCGGTAATCGAATTATATAACTGTTGCACATATATCACCAAATCGGGTGTGACAGAAAAAGGGGGTGGGGTGGTGTAACAATTACTTCAATTGGTTCATAAGAAGTAATATCAGAGATTATTTCTGCTACTGTAATAGTAGTAAGCATTTTCTTAACAATACAAAGTAGGAGATTCTATAATTCTTAAGCTGATTACCCTCCTTATATAATGATAAAATCTCTCTTTCTTTCTTTTTTTTTTTTTTTTTTTTTTTTTTGTACCTATACTCAAAACACTATACATTTTTTATTCCTAGTATATCCCACGCCCTAATTTAATGTACTTCCTCTTATATTAATTCCCTGACGATCATTGTATCGTTTCAGTAATCTAATACTGATAGGGGTTGAAATGACTTGCCCGCCATAGTTCGTAATTTCACTATGTTTCAATCAAAAACCTGATGGACGTAGAAGGGTCCTTCCTATTTTGGCTCCAATTTTACACTTCGGTTATATTATTGAATGGCACGATACAATAAAACCTTATCTCCTATACTTAATTCAATAATTTTCCAGATCTTTCTATCATGGAGCTGTTTTTGTTTATACTGAGCTTTTTGGACTCATACAATGGCAGCTTGGTGAATTGATGACAAGTTCTCTATCAGCCCTTGGGTTCTTTGAAAAAGATTTTCCCCATTTAAACCCCAATTTCTTTTGATTGAATGGGTTGTCTAGCCTTACACCTATATGTTAAATAGAATAGTGTAATTCTTGTAGTAGAATGCCTGGAGGTACAATAGGCAAATAGTATGGAAGAAATAATTAGATCTCAATCCATAATACTTTCAATGGTCTTAGCAATTGATTCACACAGGGTTTAGTTGAATCGCTCCACCAGCCCATTAGTTTGAAGGTGATATGGTGTTGATAGAATATGCTTAGTTTGGAACTTTTCTAGTAATTTCCAGACTACCTTATTATGGAAATGAGTTCCTCGATCCAATAATATAATCTCATCTCCATCAAGAAGGTCTATATTACGAATTCTGAGGTCTTCTATTTTTATTATTCTACTTAAAATAAGAAAATTAAAACTATGGAAATTACCAAAACTAAAGTTTAAGATTGAGACTAAGAAAATTATTAGAATTATGGGGTGCCGAATTTCACAGTCACCACCAAATTGTTACCCAGGAAAACTAAGACTAAAATAATAAGCTAAAGCTAACTAAAAACTGAAAAACTAACACACAACAAAAATCAAGACAACATATCGAAAGAGGCGTTTAGATTTGGATGGTGAAATGGTTCTAAAGCTTCGGTTGTCCTTTGCACAATATCACGTGACAGTCGACGTTGAAACAATAACTAACCTTCCAGAACCAACTCGCAAGGAAATCAAGTATCCTCAACTCTTAGGGATACAACACAATAATTCCAACGGCACTGGAGAAAGTTAGTCCAATGAAACGAAAGATTTTGCCTTACTGGAGGTAAAATCAGGCAGCATAATGATAGAGTTTTATTGAAGAAACAAATCAACAAAGATCCTTTTTAACAATAGGATCGGGTTAGGGAATTAGCAAATTTAGTCAATGTGTAATATAGATAATTTAATGAGTTCTTATTTGTATTGATTGAATGATATTTTTCCCACTGGGCAAAAGGCCCTTTATTTATAGATAAATTTTAAATATGGCAAAGCAGCATAATTTAATAAAGAAAATGAATAAAACCCTTCAATTGCATATAACCCAGAAATTCTCTAAAGTAATTATATCGCTAAAATCTTTTTAAACCCATTAATGCCTTAAATTGCCGAAATCGCTTATCTTTCATCAATGCACTATCTTTAAGAAATGTAGCAAATACAAATAAGTACTATAAGTACTAGAAGGTTAATAAATGCAGTAAGTTTAATTAATCGCCGGGAAAACTAAAGATGGAAATCGATCATCGTGGCTGCAGCTTATGCACATGAGGTCAGCCGGAATCGATGAAAATTAAACTTTTGATGATCGAATTTCCCCGGGTTACAGTAGTTTCCGGAGAGTTAGGTAATTTACCGGACGAAACCAAAAAGATTCCGGGAAACAAGAAAACTTTTAGGGTGTTCCAGAATTTATGAAAACAACTGTAATTCACCGAAAGCTCATACTGTAGACTGTACGATTCACCGACAATTACTCCACCGACTGCTTAGTTCACCAACAAGTAGAAAGCAAATTATTTTATGTGAAAAAAAATCAGGTTAGTAAGCAAACTCTTTATTTGAAATAGGAAAAGTGAAATCTTACCTTAATTATGTAACCCTATAAGAAAAATGGTTCAGATCGGTACGGATAGGCACGTGCCTTTGTGGCACGGGTCAAGATCCGGATTTGTACGGGTATGGCCCGAATTGGTACGGATTCGGTGGTCCATGTGGGACCGTATGCCAGTGCCAATTGGACCGTAAATGGTACGGGTTTTGCGGCAGTTTACTAGTCGAATCGGCATGGATTTGGCACGGGTAATAATTAGAGATGGGTTTCATGCGTGCGCATGATTCCTCAATCGTGCGCATTAATGCGCATTCATGTGCATGATTCGGAATCATGTGCATTTTATCCCATCTAAATTTTATATAGGAAAATTAAAGTATATTTAATTTAGGCCAAGGTGCATAATGCCAGGCAAAATTAAGAAATAGGAATGCAGTAATTTGAAAAACTCCGAAAATAAAATGAATGAACATAAAGATGAGAAGGGTCGGGAAAATTCTGGCAAATATCCGATATTTTCCGGAGGGAAAATATAAAATCAAAAAAATTATATCATGCGCATTTTATATAACGTGCGCATGTCATTATAAAATGCGCATTTTCCCCATCTCTACTCAGGAACCAAAATTGATTATTCAGGATTAATCGTTTTTAAGGAGTGAAATAATGATGGCGCAAAAATTTGGCGGTCCTGTGACTAATTCAATAATAATGATATCCTAGTTTTCGTCTTAAAATTAATGTTTGCATTAATACAAAATAGAAAAACCAATTTCCATGAGTTTTTTGCGATTTCTTGTTTATTTTTTCGCTTTTATTTTTTTTACTCGCATTTATCTTCACTATTTCACTCGTTTTCAAGAGTCTTAACCAGAGCACAAAATTCTTTTGTAAAATGCCGGAGGTTCCATTTAATTATGTTGATTTCTGTTGTAGTTTTAAAGCAATTAAAAATTTTATAATATAAATATGCTGTATTTTCACAGAAGATTCTAAATTTCGTTTGCCGAAAAAAAAAACAGGTTACGACATGCCCAAGCCTTAACTGAATTCAATGAAGAATCTGATTGGCCAGTTTAATCAAACTGGTCATTGAGTTTCCTAAGTAAAAATTGAAATTTATATTGCACAAGCTTATTTAGAATCTCTTTGACTTTGGTGTATAACACTTACAGCAATTGTGATAATCACAACATTATGACTAGAATAATAGAATTACTTTGTCGGTGAAATGATCTTTCTGTGAAAAGTTATCTATGAAATGAACTGTCAGTAGATAATTTATGTATGAACGAACTTATCATTAAATTAATTGTTCGTAAAATAAAGCTTACATGGGAACTACTATCATCATATAAAATAAGATGTCTACGAAGTGGGCTGCATCAATAATAAAAAAAAAAGCATTATTCACCATCATTATTTACTTAAAATACAGTCGAATCATAAAATATTGTCTTAAACATTATATAAAATTGGTTTAGAAGTATCTTTCCTTTACAAAATTATTCCATGGCTTCTCTGATACAAGTTACACTAACTGTAAAATATTAATCAAAGATTTGCAATTATACTTTTTTACTAATGAAAACTTTCGGCTGCTAATATAAAATAATATCTTAATCATTTATTATTCAAAAAAATTTATTGAAAGCGTCTGATTTATATTATTTATGAATTTTAAATTAGAGGTAAAAATATTATTCATATTTTAATGAGTGAGATTAAAGAACATATTAAATGAAGTTATTCAAGCTCATTATATTTTATCAATTTTATTGGTTATCAAGTAATAAAGTTTTTGTACATATCAATGATAATTTTTGATTTTAGAAATTTTATACGTTAACGAATAATTCAATCAATATCTAAACATTAAAATAAAATGAATAATAAATTTGCATATTTATAAGCAAATTTAACATTGTCGTACTTACCGGTAGGAATATCAACCGACTCAATAGTTTTACTTGTTGATGACAATTCTTATTTGAAGATATTAAATATTTTGTTAATTATTTACAGTATAATATTTGTTTTCAAAGAATTTTTTAATAATACCTTTAATTTTATTGGCTATCTTTTGTGTGCTAATAATTTTGCTAGTGTACATAAGATCTGAATGATTTTGAGGAATTATTGACAATGTTTTAATGATTTTATCTGCATTTAAGAACTGTTTTTTGATTCCATTTTCATCATCTGAAGTTATCTTTTTAAGCCAATTTTCAATTTCAGTATAAATATCGTATGCACTAGGCCGTTCTTTTGGATCTGAATTCATACATTTCTTTGCCAATTCGACATAGCAGCCAGGAGTTTCGGAAGCAAAATCTGGACGCAATCCAGTACAAATCTTTACTGCAAGTTCTTCATTAAATTGATAACCGTCAAAAGGCCTTTGTCCTGTTGAAATTTCTGCCATAATAATCCCAAATCCATAAATATCTGCTGCTTGTGTAAACTGCTCTTTACCTGATAAAACTTCAGGAGCAACATAGGGCATGACTCCAAAAATATTGCCTTCTGAAATAGATTCATCTTTCTTTCTAGATAATCCTAGATCTGCGATATAAGATTGTTGGCCTTGCAAAATATTACCACTATGAAAATCAGCATGAATGTATCCTGCAAATTCGTGAATACGATATAACTCATATGCAGTATCTTTAAGTATTTGTAATTTAGTCTGCCATGTAAGCTTACTAAAATTCTTTGTCAAATATTTATAAAGACTTCCATTATCAGCATACTGAAATACCATAAAGTAATCTTTTGTTTCTGTATTCTGGGTTATTCCATATATAGCGAGCCTACTAGAATTTAATTTACATTCCATAAGACATTTAAACTTAAAAGTTCATGCAATGAATTAGTTCAATAAATTATTATATAAATTATCAAAGCAATAAATTAACTTACTTCTTTTAAAAAATCATTGTTTTCCTTAGAACTGGTCAACGTCTTGAGTGCAACGATGCTGGATGATTCACGCGCTCTTACATAATTATATTTACCCCACTCACCATTGATTTTTCGTATGCCATCCAGCCAGATTGCTGAATATACAGAACCAAATCCTCCTTTACCAATTATTTTAATATCAGATAATCTATTAAATGGAATCCATTCAATCGCATCTTCATATCGTTCGGCTCTAAGTTGGAATTCCTTCATGCAAACATCAATATCCTTATTTCCAATTGTCCACCTTGTTGTTATGTCAGGATCGCATGATACACACCATGCTGGTTGCGTGTTATCTTCATTACAATGTGCACATTTTCCATATTCAGGTTTTCTATATATTGATAATATAATGTTTTATTTCGCATCTGCAATTTTAAACTTTATATTGAATGTAATTAATTTTTATGCTTACCGGCTAAATTAATGCGATTGAAAAGATTTGTGTCAATGATAAATAAGTATTTATGATCTTGTTTTGTGAACT